ATTAACTTCACAATCATGTATTTATTTTATAGTCTGAAACAGCTTTAGAATAACTGTATTTCATGGAGTAACAGTTAAGTAAAGATTAATATCTCTGACACATTTTACTAATCACCTACCTCAGTAATGTCATGTTGGGATAGGTATTGATGAAATGTTGTTCCGTTATTAGTTTCGCTTTCCAGTTGTTTAGTTATTAACTTCACAATGATGTATTTATTTTATAGTCTGAAACAGCTTTAGAATAACTGTATTTCATGAATTAAAATACTTTGTATACACTACAAGTTTTCTATTTGCCAGACAAATGGTAGGTATAAATAATCAGGGACTTGCTTGAGTATGCATGGGAAGGCAATATTGTTGCGTTAATCGTGTTAGTCAAAAAAGGCATCACATAGATTATCCACGTGTAGAGTTAATGAATGATGAATTGATGGTGATGCTATGTTGAGCTTGAAAAAAAGTATTTCAGTAATGGGCTTTCAGTTGTAGCCATTTCACATGAGTACACATATAAAACAATGCTAGACATTAAAAATAATAAGAATAAAATAAAGAATTTCATCAAGTAACAAATTACTAATTGATTGACTTGGATGTAAGATTTTTATTTTATATTTATTATTAAAATATTTATAGCATGAGTTGGAGCTGAGGCCAAGAAAGAGTATTGAATGATGAAGACTGTAACAACAAATAAAATATTTATATTTTAGTATTTCCATAATATATTTCTTTATCCAACTTAATACTCCCTATTTTGACTTTCTTTTCAAATAATGAAACGTGTCTTTAGTTTTAATTCATTAAGTACAGCAAAGAAATGCTATGTACTTTATAATATCTGGATTTCAACTTGTACGGTTAAGAACTTCGGACTTAATTGCTTGATGGTATTTGTAGTATTCATTCATGTGCCTTAAGAGCCTTTATTGTTTAGCTTCAGTTTTCAGTGTTTCTTGTAATAGACTCTGTATGCTTTTAGGTCTAGTATTCTAATACTTCTATGTAATAATTATGAAGCAGAGTTAGTAGGTGTTAGTGAATACTTGTGCTTGTAAAGCAGGCAGTGACGTTGACTTCTTATGCAATTGTTGTTTTTGAATCTTGGAAAATAGAATTCCATACTGAAAAGACCTTGAAACATCATGGAAATTTATCTTTGATAATATAGTGATCAAACTCTGTTCATTTTATATTTACAATAAAAAAGAAAAAATATATGTCAGTATTTGTTATATTTTTTTAGCTAATCATTATATAATTCTTTGAATTTTTATATCCACATGGTAATTTACACCTTTGTTTAGCTAATACCATGGTAATACATTAAACACAACTCACTACATACTTGTATTTTATGTTGTTAAAATAGTTGTGATGTTGTGAGGAGATCTAAGGATCAAACAGTAAATGATACATTTCAAGCTGACCTTTATCGAATCAACAGAGTGAAATTGTTTAATTTTAAACTTTTAAGGAAATAACTAATGGAGATGCACCCATTTGTTATTAGTTGATTATATGTTCTTATGGTAAACATGATTTTCAGTGATATTGGTAATTATTGCCTGTTTTTATTATTATAGGAATGGAAGTTAGATACATTATGTGACTTGTATGAAACTCTAACCATCACCCAAGCTGTGATCTTCTGCAACACCAGACGGAAGGTGGATTGGTTAACAGAGAAAATGCACCAACGTGATTTCACAGTGTCAGCTATGGTAAGACATATAGGAAAACTACCTTGCTAAAGTTTATATATAACACAGTAAGTAATATTTCAATGAGTGTCTATGAAATATCATATGAAGTGGACAAACATGCTTAGGAAAAAATTAATTTAATAATAATTCAGTGCCATTATTACTAACTTAATTTTTCTAACAAAACATTTTTCAAAGCTTACTTATACTTTAGTTGATGTCAGCCCAAGAATATGATGATGAAATCAACGTTTTTCCTCTTTTATTGACAGTCACCTTTAAAAGATGTAGAGGGGCTTGATCCTCTTTGTTTTTTTTAATATAACTAGCAGAGTTAAGGTAGCAATCTATGTTATAATGCAGAACTGTACATGCAAAGGCTTTGTCAGTTATAAAGACATTGCCCTCAGATTTTCGATACATATTTTGAATGATGTGAATTTGCATGTTTAGTTCTTGGAATTCAAAATTACATACACTAAAGTGACTTATTTATACTGTACTTTCTGGAATTATGCCTTGATTGACAAAGATTGCCACCATCTTTTGTTGATGTATAAACATTTTCACGTTGACATCACATGAGGCTATTTGTTTTATTTCACTTTTTTTTTACACTAACAGTAGTAGTGCACTAAATAATTTTTATTTAATTAGATATTGCACCAAAGAACATAGAATAATATCATGCATAAATCAGACAATGTCCCATAACTATCACAATTTTATCTAGCTTTCTAACTATATGACAAGAGCCGTTACAAATTCATCCACACTATTCGATATCTTTCCCATAGGAACGAAGCTTGTACGAAGAGAGAAATTGACAACTTTGTGTTTAAAACACAATGTAATATGATACATCATTTGATAGTATTAAACATAAGAGAACTATTAACGAAGTATTGATTTATAAACTTAAGAACTTGTATACCATTAACATATAGAACATTAGCTATGAGTTTATGCTATACTAATTGGTATAACACAAACAAAGAGTAGTTTGGTTAAATTTTGAAAAACCTCATGATATGCACAGTAAAGGATACCTGTGGTGAGAGGGTTAACAAGCTTAGTACAGGGTGACACAGGAATTACCAGTCAGTGATAGATAAACAATAAATATTACAGTTGGAACCTCATTGTATTTAGGACAAGGCTATAAATACACCCTTCCCATGTTTGTTGAAACACTGCATGAAAAAAAACAAGTAAGTAAAACAGGCAAACAAGTAACCAAAAAAAACGGGTAATAAGGATTGCATATATGTGTGTGTGTGTGTATAAAACTATTCAATCACAATTGAGTTTAATTTAT